AAAGAGCAATGCATCAAGCTCAATAGTGACGCTGTCGCAGCGAACGAGAAAACGTCAACTCAACACCCTCAACGACCATCATTAGGCAAAAAAGCTGCAGTGTAGAATAGATTTTGTGCTAAATAGGACTACTCAAAGCCTTATTTAACAACTCTGACATAAATTGGTTACCTGCATTACTGATTTTCAACCCTAACAAGGATTCAACCAGCATGTATTGAAAGTGTATAGGGCAGTGAAGTGTAAAGTAACCTCAATTAAGGTGTCAAATGGAGGTCTGAAGACGAACATCAAATCCACAGCCCTGCTGGACATATCAAGGCAAGCATCTGAGGTGAAGTTACCCCATTGGCTATGAAAAACATCGACAGTTTGTATTTAATTGCCCACACACCAGTAAAATCACAATGGTTGAGTAATGTGGGTCAACTACCAGTCCAGAGTAGAAGAAAACTGATCACCTTCGTACCAGGTGGTCCTAGCGCATTAATATTCTCCAGGGCGATTTTCACCAACGGCAGATAGAGCATGTGAATACGCGAGAGCTGTCGACGCGAGGTGGCATAGCGTGGGTCAAAGGTCACTTTGGCAAGTTGGGCAAGAAGGAGGAGGAGGGGCTGACGCAAGGTCCGAGTGGACACAAAACCCCCTGCGTCTGTACACCCGGCCAGCACGCATGCCACTTGCTGCAGGCTCAAACCCACCACGAAATGCTCCTTACAGAAACGTTCACTCAGAGTTAATTCTTCCCGACGATCTTTAAGGTGAACGGTGGGTAAAAGTATCGTTAATGTCCATTTTTGCATGACTTGGAATCAAGACGGTAGCCCAGATTAAAGTTTGGGTTAATTATTTTTTTGTGCATCAATTTATGCGACACGAGAAAATAAATTTGATTCATCTGAGGTGGAGCATTGAACAGTACCTCTCCTTGAAGCCGTTCCAAAATTAAAGGCCTCGAAGAAGCAGGAACATGTCAAATGGAGTGGAAATAATAGTCAATACAATTGAGATAAATGTCTAATCGTCTAGGCTTAAATGAGAGGCTATTTCGTAATCCTTAAAGAGGTGTTCAAAAGCGAAAAATACTTGTATACAAATAATACAA